TTCATTAAGTTTATTAATTGGATCATATATTATAAGAAATTATAAGAAATAAGTTTCAAAAAAATTATAAGAAATAAATATTTAAATTAATTTATCCCTTAACATGTCAAGATTAAAAAAAAAGGGTAAAAAAATGCGTATTTTCGATTGACCAAAACAAAATTATTTCATCGTCTTTAAGAGAAATTAATACTCTATACTGATTTTTTTTTGTCTTTTTCTTTGTACATGCATCTTGGAATTCAACATTATATATTAAGGGAGAGTTTTCAATTGGACACATGGCACAAAATTTTATAGGCTAATCTCTATAGCGAAAAATTAGATAGCCAATTCCACATATCGCAACCACATCACTCCATCATTTAATGGTAATTTTTTATTTGTAAATTCCTAAATTTATAAATAATCAATTTTACCCGATTTTATTTTTTTTATTAACTACGAAAAAAGCAATAATAAACAATGTGTAAAAACAAGATATAGTTGGCCAACCGAAAGGCTAAACATTCTGCATCTAAACGTAATATGGTTCAATTCTTGAGCATTAATAAAAACATAATATTTAAAAACATAATATTAATTCAATTAATATTAAAATGTTGTATATCCTAATTTTTTTTGAAATACTTTACACTTTTTTCAACGTGCTAAATTATTTTAAATTAATTTAATTAAGTTTATTAATTGGATCATATATTATAAGAAATTATAAGAAATAAGTTTCAAAAGAATTATAAGAAATTAATATTTAAATTAATTTATCCCTTAACATGTCAAGATTAAAAAAAAAAGGGTAATAAAATGCGTATTTTCGATTGCCCAAAACAAAATTATTTCATCGTAGTTAAGAGAATTAATACTCTGTATTGATAATCTTGGATTTCAACATTATATATTAAGGGAGAGTTTCCAATCGGACACATGGCACAAAATTTGATAGGCTAATCTATATGGCGAAAAATTAGATATCCAATTCCACATGTCGCAACCACATCACTCCATCATTTAATAGTACTTTTTATTTGTAAATTCGTAAATTTATAAATAATCATTTTTACTGATTTTATTTTTTTATTAACTACGAAAAAAGCAATAATAAACAACGTGTAAAAACAAGATATAATTGCCCAACCAAAAGGGTAAAAATTCTGCATCTAAACGTAATATGGTTCAATACTTGAGCATTAATGAAAACGTAATATTTAAAAATACAATATTATATTATAGGAAAAATATACGAACAAAAGTCTATAGAAAAAATAGTTATTACAAAATTTTCAAGAAATGAAGTTTTAAAGATAGGTCATAAAATTTAGGGAGGGGGGAAGGTGAAGACTATGCAATCAAGAAAAAAAAAGTGAAGTAAATACTATATTATAGGAAAAATATACGAACAAAAGTGTATAAAAAAAGGTTATAAAGGTATATAGAAAAATGGAAAATAAAGATAAATTTATAAAAAAAAAATAATGAGAAAAATTTTTGTTAGAAGGAGAGTTTAAAAGACATGACACGAGTAGAAATATTTAGAAAAATCATTATAAAAAATCAATGAAATCATATCAACAAAATGAAAAGGATGGACAATAAGTTAAATGAGATGATTTCAAATATTGAAAATTATACCAAATGAATTTAAAATAACAAAACACATTGATATTGAAAATTACACAATTGCAATTCATATCATTAATATTATACTTTTACATGTACCACTCTGTCGGAAATATTAGACGATCGTTAAGTCATCAAGCTAATATATATCTTAAATAATCCGCACAACGTACGGGATAAACACTAGTATATATTAAAGGAAAGAAGATTAATTGACAGGTATCAAGATGATTAAATAATTCAATTGCCACATGTCAATTTATTGTTGGTCATTCATTAAACTGTAAAAATCTAATTAGTTAGACGGTTAATGAAGTGAAATCCAAAGTGTGAGTAAAGTCAATCAAAGTAATGTGATGCTAAAAAAAGTAATGTGACGCTACTCATCATCATCACTCCTAACCACCATTCATCTCTGTAAATATAAAAACTACTACTACTTACTACTAGCTACCATTTATGGGATACTGAACTGTAAAAATATAATAAATCTATGGTCCATCCAAATGTAACAAAAGAAGGAATAGAATATCATCAACTCCTAAAACTCCAACTAAATCATGGTCATCAATTGAACTAAACCAAAACTCATAACCAAAGTTGGAACCAGAATTAAAACTATCTCAAGCTGCAACTGTTTAAAACTGTCTCATAGATGAGTTGTTCATAGTTTCATCTCTTTCGAAATTAATAACATGCAATTTCAAATTGATAATTGTATTCAAAATTACATTTGCACGGGTTTTCACGCCCATACAAACAATAATACGAACAACAATGCAAGGGCTGTAAAAAAAGATCTGTAATGTTTATATATACATACATACATACATACATATATATATATATATATATATATATCCATCCAAATTTACATGGATATCGATTCTTACTATCCGTCCATATTAAATCAACGCCCAGTAAGGTGGCCAGAGTGATAATTAGCATCCAGAGAAAAAAGGTTGGTCTTATACCAAAAATTTCCGTAAACAGTCAATTATTTCATTTTCTAGAAAGACAGAATTTTTTTAAAGAAAAATTTAGTTAAAAGATAGAAGAGATGGTCAAATTAATAAAAAGGGTTTTATTAAGGGCAATATATTACTTGTCAAAAAATATACCATCAAAGCATTTTTGTTTTACATCATTATCTGCACTATCTCTTCCAATTAGTGGAAAGAAAAATTTCCTATCTCTTTTTCAGGATTTGATCGTTTCAACATAATATCAAAAGGATTAATTATCAAAACTATTAGCAAAACCTAATTATTAAGAACCAGACTTATTATATACAAATTAATTAAACAATCATTATATACAAATTAATTAAACAAAAGCAAAGGTTTATGGGGTGGGCTTCTTGTAAGTGAATCAAGACCCAAAAGTTACACCCAATAGGATGAATATCAGAAAGAGAAAGAGAGATCTTTATGTAGTAATAAAAATCATTTCAACATGATGTCGAAACAATCTAACCTCATAACAAGAATAGGTTCAACAAATAATAAATAAGTTAATAATTCATAAAGCTAACAAGAATAGCACCAACCAATTTTGAACCCGTAAATTATTTAAATATTATGTTTGCAGTAGTCTAACCCCAGTAATAGCAACTTTGATGAGATGTCAAACTTTTGTCTTTAAATTTATGGGTTTTCTATTGAAGATTATGAAGGAGAAGGTTGGATTCTTATTTTGCAGGATATGGTTGATTTGGGGCACATGATCTTTTGTGATACTTTCTTGTTCCACTCACTGTGACACAATCCAATTACTTCTTGTAAATTATATAATTTGTGTTAATATATATACTATTCACAATCTCTTTCGAACTTATATATTTTAGGATTAAGGGTTCACTTTTTTCGGATTAGCACTTATTTATTTTAATTTTCATAGTTAATAAATTCTATAAAAAATAGTCAAATTTCATAAAAAGTAAAACATTGATATAAAAATAAAATTAACATATAAAAATTATTTACATTGAAAATGTCTGATTATGGTATATGTATTATCACAAATTATGTCATTTATATGAAGTAATTGGATTGTATCACAGTGAGTGACACAAGAAAGCGTCACAGAAAATCCCGGGCCGGTTGATTTAGGTTTTGTTTAATAGTTTTGTTAATCCGATTAAGGAAAAGGGAAGAGGATTTAACTTTTTATTATTGAAAGAACTAATAAGCAAAGGATAATTATGTCATAATAAATTATTTTAATTTTGTAATCTATGATAATTAATTATCGTCCTTAATAAAAATTATTTTATAGTTATACCTCTTTAATTAATTTGATTAACTCTACCGCCTTTAAACCAAAAATTCCTTTTTTTTCTTTTGTAGCCTCTTCTTTCTCTCTTATCTTGCCTGGTCTCGCCACAATGATACAATAACACAGGCCTTGGACGTTAGGATGCGATTTGGAGTTTTTGTCAGCTCGGTTCTATTGTCAGCCTTTGTTTTGAAGTTTTTTCAGTAAGATCTTCATTATTTGTAGATTTGTGATCAAATGAGATGAATTAATGAATTAAGAAATTATATGTATTTGTATGTCTTGTTGGATTTCTCAATCAAGTAAAGACCAAAAAAAAAATCTTTAGAACTCTTGATGATGGGATTTTAATTAGATTTATGAGAAAGCCATTAATATGCCAACAAAATGGATTTGACTGCTTTTAACCATTCTACCCGAAATGATTTGATAGCACACATCTCTCTTAAAAATATTTTATCTTTGTTACATTTAAAGTCAAATTTTCTCTTTGTTTTTCGAAATTTCGCCCACGGATCCATGTATCATCACGAATAAGAAATGTTCAAGCACTAATACAACATAATCTTTAGAAGATTGCTGGAATTATTGCTTCTAGAGGTAAGAGTTTACTGTATTGGAGCAAACGAGATGGGAGACCGGAGAATGGAATGACAACTTAGGAAGGAGAGGTTGGACAAAAGATCTATCCATTGGACTATCTGAGGATAATTTGGGATGCACACTCATGATTTGCTCTCGATGCTAATTTTAAATTTGGCAATATCACCAATCATTTAATTATTTTAATAATTCAAACTGGAATCGAGTCGTCAATTTCCGTTTTGAAATCTTTGTCATAAGAACCAGAACATGAATAAAAGTAATGGTTTCTGTTACGACTTTTGTCAGGGACAATCGCTTTCAAATGTGAGTTTGTTTTTGCGTCATTCAGTCTTCACACACAGTCAACTCTATGTTGTTTTTTCCAGACAAAGTTCAGAAAGGGTCTGAAAATTCTTATTTGTAACAAAGAAGAAGAATTTGACAGAAGCACAACGAACGTTATCTACAAGCAAGCACTTCATAATATATGAACCTTGTTTTTTTTTCCCTTCAAATAATACCTGAATATTTGTATTATATTTGAAAAAACTATTTCTACGAATATTTTACATTTTGGTTTGATAGTATTTCAAATTTTACATATATAGTTTAACTTCAATAATTCACATTTCATATAGAATTAATTTGAGACATTTTATGCATAATTTTTTACTTTTCAAGTCTACTATGTTAATATCGAAAAATCATCGTGCAGCGTACGGGTATTACACTAGTATGCTTAATTATAATGTTGCTATGATAAGAGATCAAAATGCTTAATACTACATTCGGAAAAAAAACATTCGGAGAATGACCAAAGAAGGGGTGTAATATAAATTAGCAACCAATCTCACCAAGACGAGACACACTAGCAATTAGTTATTCTTGCTTAAAGAGTTGAGAAGTGTACAAACAAAATCACAAATTAAATCAAATTAATCTAGCCGACCCAAAATAAAATTTAAGGCAAGTGGAAAAGAAAAAAAAAAAAACTAGTGGAATTGAGACCAAAGTAGAGAAGAAGGCTGCAGGCAGGATTCAGGATATCCATATCTCCCCACCCCCCATAATATACAATCTGATTTTATGTACATTTTTCTTTCTACCAAAAATCATGCATACTTCATCCCAACAAGCAGCTGATCTTTGACTGTGTGAGCTCTGAAACCTTCCTTGCTTTAGTAAAAAAAAAAAAATTTCTCTCTTCTATTCATTGGACCACCAGATAGCAACTAGAAAAAAAGCTTTAAAAACCAACATACTACCAATTAAATTCACCAATTTTGAACAGCATTTCTTGGGAACCAACTATAGCTAGACACCATAAAACCGTCGGCTTCTTTCATGATGATTGTTTTGCAACACTCTTTTGCCGATGAAGAAACAGATTTTGTTTTTTGGGAGAGACAAGAAGCATCTTCATCACTAGACAACAAAAATAACAGCATATCTGACTTCACATTTTTTGAAAGGGGGGAATATATGAACACTTCAACAACAGTACGAAGTGATCTCATTTTCCATCTTAGGTTTTCTTACTAAGGTTTCACCCTTCACGAAAAAGATCCTTCCACCAATTCTTTTCCCCTCTCTATATTATCCCCCTTTGTGCACTTGAACAAGTTAACCATCTGTTCCACACAATTCACCCAAAACCCAAATTGGAACTCCCACCCAAGCTAAGACAAAAACACAATATGTTACCCCAACTTGTCTGTTTCACACCAAGTAGTTAAGGGCCAGCAAAAAAAGCCACTAATATCTGCATTGGATCCCATCTTCCATCAAATTCCCCTCTTTAAATCGACAGTAATCTCCACATGGTTGACCTTAATAATTAATTTGTCCCCCTCCAAATCTATGTACTAAATGATTGATAGTTAGACCTTATAGACTTACCAACCTTAATCAAGTTCTACTGCTAATTAACCCCCCAGCTAGCTAGTACTAATATTTTTAACTTTTTCTTCCTTTTTTTTTTTTCCTGAAATATGAAAAACACACCCAAAAAAAAAAGCACACCGAAAGAAACACACCAGAAAATGAAAAGGGTTTTCATTATTACTATTTCCTAAAGGGACCTATGTTCAAGGATGTTAATATTATTATTGGTTCGCTGTCGCTTAACATTCCCCGAACCAGATTCATCACCATTGGATTTCTCCATAACCGCTTTAAGGGCCTCATGAATTGAGCTCAAGGAGTAATTTTGCTGCCGTGGGTGTTGTTGCGGCTGCTCATCCGGGTCAACATTATCAGTATTACTGTTGGTATCATCATCTTCACTGGTAATGAACAAGACATTCTTAACCCTTCCACCCAACGTCGTGATCTCGGCTTTTAAGGTTCTTAACCTTAAACTCTTCAATGTCTTGATGAGATCAGGCAACAGATCAGGCCTGTCCTCACAACACAAGGAAGCCCTTACAACAAACTTACCATCCTCATCACCTGCATTGTCCACTGTTAACTCATCAACCTCAGTTGGGATTTGTGTTGTTTCAGCTATCATAGATGTCTGCCTTTTCAGCTCCTTCACATGTTGTATCACTTCAGCCAGCAATGAAGCTTTATCCGTCTAAACACAACATTCAACCACAAACTTGGAAGTTAGCCCCAAGGGGGAAGGAAGAAAGAAAACAAAAAAAAAAAAAGACAAAAGGTTTAAGCTTTGAATGAAAGTGTGAATGCATAAGAGTAAATCTAGTTAGCTATATCTGAACTAGTTCGTGGAAAGAAGAGAAGAGAATGGAGATTGGGTTTCGTTTTTATGGGTGGAGAAATTGATGCTTTTGATTCAATTTTTAATACAACACTATTGTATGCATGACTGACAAGAATGCTTCTTTGTCTTGTGTTTTACTACTATTTCCTTTTCAACTGTAAATGAAATCCGGCAAGAATTTTCCAATTAAGCTTTTCAACTGCACCATGGTTTCTCTTTTTCATATCAACTGTGCGACATTAACGCTTTCTTTCCTTTTTATCACTACCATTTTCTTTCTTTCATTCCTCGGAACTACCACAATGATCAGAGAGAATAAAAACCAACACCCAAATCGAAAAAATGGGATTCTTAAAATAATCCAGCAGATACAGACACAGACAGATCCAAAGAATAAATTACTAAACCTATGTAATTAATTAAGTAACCACCCAAGAAAAGAAAAAAAAAAAAAGAAGAAGAAAATGTGCCACTTTCCGTACCTAAATTTATGCTCCTGAATCTCTTAAAAAATTCTGATGGAGAACTTTATGTATTGAAGAATCTTATTACAATAATCCAAAGGAAAGCATAAAGGGTTGTCATGGGTATGGAACTAATACTAACAAAATGACTTAACACATGAAAGATTTCGATTGTTTAGAAACAAAAAGACGAAAGGAGAGAATAATAAGGTGATGATTAGCTGAGTTTTGGAGGTACTAATGTTCATTATTAATAAATAAAAATGCTTACTTTGGTGGTATTAGGAAGCAAGCTACGAAGCTTAGCGAGATGATTATTGATTCTTTCTCTTCTTCTTCGTTCAGCTTCACTGTGACTTTTTGAAGCAGCAAGAGCTTTAGCATCCATGATTTCTTGGGCTGTCATTTTCTGCAATTCTGCTTGAAGCCCAAAAGGAGCTGCTGCATCCAAAACAAGTTAAGTTTTTGAACAACTCTAATCGGACATAATCATAATTATAAGAGGCAAACTGCACTGATATTAGTATTATTAGGTCTCCTTAATTACCAGTGTTGAATAAACCTCCATAAGAGGAAGGTGGTGGAGGGAGATGAAGAAACGGGTCATGATGATGGTGATGATCACGGATCGGGTTGGTCAATGGATACTGGACCGGGTTAAAGCCATGAACTTGATGATGAGGGAGCGTCCATGGTGAAAGGAGTGGAGATACTTCTGGAAACATTGGGAAAAATGCATCAGTGCTGTTTTGTTGCTGCATCTGTTGTTGTTTTTGATGATGATGATGATGATGATGTGGTCCACTTGGAAGAGGTTGTTGATGTTGTTGAAGATGTAAACTTTCCTGGAAAACCCGAATCATATCAGTTACAGTTTTTGTTAAATGAGAATCTTCATGACAACTTTGTTCATCTTCAATCTTCATGTTGTCAACCATAATTATACCAAAAAGATTCTAAAGATGCAATCTTTTTCCAAAAACCCTTTTTTCCAATAACCACAAAAAGGAAGATTTGGATCCTATATATCCCAGATGGTGCAAAAAAAAGGGTTTTCTTTTTAGTATCAAAGAAGAAGGAGAAGGAGAAGAAGAAGATCGCAGAAACAAAAGTCACAACAAACCTTATATATAAGCTGAGTTGAATTCTAATTGCAGAATAAGCTTTTGCCTGCTTTAGCTTCTCTCTTTTCTTTTAAACTTGCACACTGATGTTTTTAGGAGCTTTGGTTTACGTAGATTGCTTTGCTTTTCTTTCTTTCTTTCTGGCTTCCTGAAACAGCTGCTTTTGGGGAGGGAGGGAGGGAATGGCTGAAATGAATCCAAATGGTGATGAGACTTATGGCCCCTTTTTATCCTACACACTGCAACTCAACAACAAAACAAGCTAGCTAGAAAAAGGCTTCTTTTTCCTTCCCTTTCTCTTATTATTACACTCTCCTTGAGTGTGTGCTTTCTTTATTTAATGGGTAGTAGTAGTATCTTTTTGGCTCCTTTGTTTTTTGGTTTTTTTTTTTTATTATATCGGGACCCTTCTTTTTAGTCTTCCACTTTCCCACCCCCTTACATATATAGAGGTATGCAATGTACTGCTAATGTTCCTTTCCTTTCTTCTTACGGCATTCTTTTGCTCTCTCTCTCTCTCTCTCTCTCTCTCTCTCTCACAATCCAATCCCAGTGTACCTATCTATATCATCCTTAGTGGTGGTGGAAGATTCAAAATCTATTATTTCTTTTTCCTTTTTCCTTTTCATTCCATTTGTACTAGAAAAAATATATACTCCTCCGTCCCACAATTATTATCCAGTTTTACTAAAATAAAAAATTTTATTTTTAGTCAAACTTAACTATATTTTACCTTGAACAACCGGATATACCCCTACATAAGTAATTGTTTAACCACAAAGATTTTATGGATAATGTTTTTTACTAAGGACAAATATGTAACTTGATCAATAAAAAGTCAAATTGGATAATAATTTTGGGACAAAATTTTTTTGGCAAAATAGACAATAATTATGGGACGAAGGGAGTATTTAACTTCATTCAATAACATAAACATAAGATGTAGAGATATATAAAGATCTTATATAACGCCTATATCACTTAATGGTTGTCACTATTAGGATTTTAACTCAAATACTTGGTAGTTAAAAATCAGCAAGCACAAAAAAAAAAAAAATTGATATCAAATTTTTTTGTTCCACTTATCGTATATTTCCTCCATTTCAAAATATAAGTTACTTTAGACTTTATGCATAAACTATGTAAACAATCATACAACAATTAATTGCTTCGTCAAATGTCTTTTATACCCTCATTAAATGCATAGGAACTAACATTTTTTTTTATTGAGGGCAAAGTTAGAAAAATTATCATAAATTTACCTTGAATTTCTAAAACAACTTATATTTTGAAGAGTAATGATACATAACTCATGTAAATTATCTCATCATTGTATCTCACCTTACATGACATGTAACTATTGAATCAAATTTAGAAAGTTAATTTAATTTTTATTCTTATTAGATTTATAGACTTTTTTTTAAGTATTCTTATATCCAAAAATTTTAAACCCTAACCCACCCCCAAAAAAAAATCTTTTTGGGAAAAGTTATAATAATGCAAATGATTCATTAAAAAAAAATTGAAACACTATTTAAAAGAAATATAACATTTACATTGAGTTATTTAGAGGTAGAGAATAGAAAGGGATTTACCAATCGTAAGAAATAGACTATCCAATAAATGATTGACATGTAAGGTGAGATGTAACGTGCGATGAATTTGATAAGATGAATTACTCTATTTTAAAATATTTCTCCAAACTTAAAACTATATTATAATTTAAAATGGAGGGAGTAATAGTTACATTAATAGTGAATTTCGTTTCAACTTAGTAATTGCGACTTGCGAGTTGTCATCAATGAAACATAGTTAAGTGATTGTCAATCAACACTCAATTAATGACTCAATTTGATTACACAGTCTTCACTAATCATGTACTACTATTTTCAATGCAAACTTGAACATCTAGTATATTTTAATTAGTTAAGGTCGTAAATAGTAACGAATAATCTTGTTGACCAGAAGAACTTGAGGGAGAAGCATGGTGGGAATGAGATTGAGGAGAGGGTACAAAGTTCGAAGTTGCATAATTGCAAAAGGAAGGGGGTGAAAGTGGGGGGGTGCGGCAGGCAGGATGAAAGAGAGAGGACTAATGGGAGGAGTTTGGGGGAAACACAAAACATAACACAGTGAACACACTACACACAGATTGTCGACCGACCAAAGACAACGATATTTAAATAAAGTCAGAGAGAGAAAGAGAAAGTGAGTGAGTGTGAGTGTGTGTGTGTGTGTGTGTTTTTCTGATGGTATCATATCCTCATGTATGATGATAGAATATGTTAGATTAGACAGAGGAATGGAAAAAATTCAAAAAAGGGTTTATAGCTTTTGTTCATAAGTTGGAAGAAGGCTTTGTTTGTAAGCTCTTTGGGGTCAGTCAATTTTTTTTGTTTGGGAGCCCCCACGTTCTTCTTCTTCTTCCTTTCCTTCCCAAATCCCATATTATTATTACTATTATTAGTTTTGTAGTATTTGTTGGTTGTATTGGTATTTTCCACGCCAGCACTTTTCTGCTTCCGCAAGGACCCTCTTTGTAATCATTGTGTCTTGGAAAACACTCTTTCATCATCATTCTCTCTCACTCTCTTATCTTTCGTTCCTGCCTAATAGTAAAAGTAGTACTGCTACTTCTGCCCATCTACTTCCATTACTTATTATTATTTTTGAAACAACAACAAGAAACAGCTTCGTGTTGTTGTTTTTTTTTTTTTTTTTCCTTTCTTTCTTCTTCTTTTCTCTGAAGGAAATGCAAATATGATTCATTTCCTTGTTTTCAGTTGCATGCGTTCGATGACATTTACCAGAGAGATGAGAGTCCCCTTTTCTCCTTAGTTGCAAAAACTTTGAAAGTGAACCAGACCTTGCATATATAAACTAAAAAGTTCACTTTAATCCCTGTTGCATGGAGTCCCAACGGCATTGCAGTTATAAAGTTCGCCCCTGTTTACATTCGTATATATTCTCATTTCTCGAAACAAAATTTACTGGATAAATAATGAACCTGTCGCATTAATAATAAAATAACGTTATTTCTTCCAAAAAAAAAATTTATTAAACCGTAAACCCTATATGGATACATCAACAAGCCCTTGAAATTAGATGCAATGTTTGCTAGGGTCTAGCTAGACAGGCCTCATAAATCGCTAGGGGGAACAGTTGGGATAGGGAAGTCACCCCTTTCAAGCTACAAGTTCTGATTTTGAACTTTATATAAAGTAACAAACCCTATTTTAATACACTATTTCTTCTTGAAATATACGTAACTCTTTAGGGTTTTCATAAACTTTATAATTGTCGAAATGCGGAAACAAAACACCCAAAAAAAGAACTTTTTTTTGTTGCCCGTACACATTTTCAATTTTTTGAAATTCGACAGTGTTTTTGCTTGAAGCCAAAGTCTTGTAGTCCACTTTAATCATATATCCTTACTTCTCCTTCGTCGTTTTTATTATTTTGTTATACATAACGATTATTTTATACCAAATAAAATAATTATTAGATGCGAGAATCTGTGTATCATATTTCTTCTTTTAAAGATAAATGTGGTAACCAAAGTAGCTGTGGTGGAGTGGAAGGGACTCCTCCACCTTTAACCATAGGTCGAAGGTTCGAACTTCACTATAGATATGCAATAATCTTAAATACTTTGGCCAGTTGTCCCACTCATTGAAGTGCCTACAATTCAGCGAGTGGGGATTAGACACTCTACAAATATGCGAAAAAAAAGAAAACAAGATAAATGTAGTAGCCATGTACTAGTATGTGACTCGACCCTTTTTTCTATGATCACAAAATGATATTACTATTCAATTCTAATAAAAAGCTCCTTTTCTATTGGATCATCCACAATTTTGTTATTTTCCTTCCCCCCCCGGTGATGGATTAGGTTTAAAACACATCTTCGAGTAGGTTGACGAGACAAGTTCCTTTCATTCAAATGTCAAAATGTCACATATGTTGAGGATAGTTCCAACATTCGCATGTTCTTCTTTGTTTCAATTAGTAGCCTTTTTGAAGCTAGTTATGAGAAATTGGAAACATTTTGGTGGATTCATAAAAACTTTCGTAAAGGTCATTATTAGTTTCAAAAACAAACAAATTTAGAACAGCTTCTAAATCAAAGAAGAATCTGAGACCACCTACTTGGAAGTGGAAAAAACCAAAGGACACATCCATTTTCTCCTGCTTATATTTAGCATAAGAACAACAATATCAAGTCATCTATCCATCCAACACTCATTTGCACAAGTCCTGTTTCATCGTATACTCACTATGTTATGTTTTAATAAGATATATACTCCCTCGTCTACTGAATGATGTACTTTAATCAGTTGATGAACGGGTCGGTGGGAAAGTTGGTACATAATCTCAATTGGAGAAGATTGGTGGGAAATAAGAGATAAAACTTGAATAAATGTGGAAAAAGAAAAAGATAGAAAGAAAACTAATATAAGTGAATCAAACTATTCGGTTGCGCCATTGTTATGACTTATGACTACAACAGATCTTGTCACTTTTACATGACAACGTGCTTGGTAACTAATTATAAAAAGCTCATCAACTTTGAAAATATAGAAGTTTCAGACCAGCAGCTGCTACTATAGTACACAGACAAAGTTAAAAGTGCGTAAAAAAAAGTGCTTTTTAAGCCTGAGGAGGTTAAAAAAAAAAACTCAGGAGGGCTTTCAGTAATTTGCACGGTTAATCAGAGGAATGGCTAGGGAAAAGTAAAACAAAAACCATCATCAACCTCACTAACTCACTTTTTTCCTCAACTTTAACCTTTTAACCCCTTTTAGATTTATAACACCATGATTGAAATTTGTACACTAGTAAAACGTATGTGTTTGTTTGTCTTGCTTTCGTGTTTTCTACTTGTGTGAAAGAGAAATTAATAAATCCATCCTTTTTACTTGTTGCTAACATTCAAAAAAAACACCCTTTTGTCACTTTTTTTTTCTTCATATCCATGCACAATGAAAGAAACAAACTCTAGCACATTTGTCAACATATTTCATGGATGAAAAATTCTAATAATCTAGTGTTCAAGTTAGGATTCGTAATCTTAAGATGAATCATTTAATCTCTGAAAACCATTAATTAGCACCTTCTTTCAATTTTAAAATTGCCATGCATTTTCTCTAAACTTGTTTTAGTTATGGAAAATACATCACAGCAACACATTTTACCGATGAAAAACATTGATGATTGATAACGTTTATTACAGTTCCGAACCGCCTGAAGATGGATTATCTATTCTCTGAAAACTACTAACACCGTTTTGGCATTTTTGAATTGCCATTTTCCGTAAACTTAATTTTTATTATGCCAAAACATGAACCACTTTTTTTAATTTTTGGAACAAATTTGGTCACATTTTGGTGCTGGATTCTACGGT